CATGTGTTATATTATTTCTACTATATCTACTATCTACTATATCTACTATACTAATAAGAGCCCAAGAGAGTTAGGTCTATAATGGGTAGAAAAAATGGCGGTCACAGATTTTAATCAAATGAATGGCTCAGATTGATCATATTTTAGTTTTTCCTTAAGATTTCCTAATTTATACTTAATGAATATGATTATCCGTTAACTTTTCCGTTAAATATTATCTTTTCCGTTAATTTTTGTTAGTTCACCGTTAACTTACTCATTGATTTCAATAAGAAAGGTCTTAAGTTCGAACCCCATCCCAATCAAAGTTGACATAATTAGTACTCTATTTTACTCTTATTAAATTAAATAATAATGATTTAGTAGCTACAATAAAAAATAATACATATGCATGTTTTTAATTTAGAATTATTTGTCTACAATGTCTTTATTCAAAAAAAGTTATTCATTATCAATAAATTAAATAAGAGAAATAAGAGAAATAATTCCATTAGTTATATTGTCTTTAATTTTCTCCAATATAAAAATTCTTTACATTCAAATTCATCAATTGATGACTAGGACTATGTGGTCCAATGGTATCCGGGTTGAACTTCCATTTGGAAGGTTGTGAGTTCAAGCCTCAGTGGAGGCGTTATTAGCTCTTTGTGTTTCAGTAGGTTGAGAAAGTATATGAACAGATACTACAATGTAATAGAGCTAGTAGCATTCAAAAAAAAAAAAAAATCATCAATTGATTATATTCACTACATTGTCCATACAATGTCATTATTAAAAAAAAATAGTCATTATCAATAAATTAATTAAAAGAAAAATTTTATTAGTTATATTGTCTTTATTTTTCTCCAATGTAAAAATTCTTTACGTTAAAATTCATCAATTGATTATATTCACTACATTGTCTATTATCTTGTTTATGCACTATTTTTTTAATTAAATATCAAAGTTATAATACAAAACAATGCTATATATTTATTTACCAAGTATTTTATTAATACCATGAAAATATTTAAAAATATATAATTAATAAACCCTCAAATAGTTAATAAACCCTCAAATAGTTAATACAAGGTACCGATCGACATGAATCCATCGGATGTCAACCTTGGCTTTGTGGATTTCTGGGTTCAGGTACACGATTTGCCTTCAGTGTTTGCCTCTGCAGATTTCATATCCCGCATCGGTAACTACATTGGCTCCTTCAAAGCGGCTGATCCATACAACTTTGGGAGTAATTGGCGTAGCTTTTTCCGAATTCGGGTTCGGATTGACGTTCTGCAACCTCTGAAACGCAGAATGCGTCTAATCCGCAAGGATGGATCGGTGCACTGGGTAAACTTCAAATATGAACGCCTCGGCACATTTTGCTTCTGTTGCGGGGTGTTGGGGCATGCCGAAAAGTACTGCAAAAAAGCCTATGATGAGGGGCTGGAACCGGATGCTTATCCCTACGGAGCATGGATGCGAGTCGGAGCTCGACGCCAGGTGCGGCCAATCGATGCGAAATGGTTACTGCAAGATCTCCCGAATATTGCCGCCGGCGCCAACCCAGCCTTCGAGCTCGGTTATTCAGGAAGTGGCGACGATGGAAGCTGCGAGTGGCTTGCACGGCGATCTGAAGCGACGAAGGGAGGGTAACGAGGAAGGGGATGTAGTCATGATCGATCACTTAAAAAACTCGAGTACGGCGGGTCTGGCAGTCCAGGCTCGCCCCACGCAATGAACATCTTGAGCTGGAACTGCCGGGGGTTGGGGGGTGACCAGACAGTTCAGGAATTGCTGGGTCTCGTATCCAGCCAGCAACCCAGCTTCGTTTTCCTTATGGAAACGAAAGCTATGAAGACACATGTGGAACGAATAAAACTACGCATGGGATTTGAAGGCCTGCTATGCGTGGAACGAAATGGCATGGGAGGTGGCTTAGCTCTGTTTTGGAGGGATGCGGCTATGGCCACATTACTCTCTTATTCTGCAAATCACATCGATGTAAGTATTTCTTTACCGGAGACTCCAGAATGGAACCTAACTTGTTTCTACGGGGAATCGGACCAAAATAGACGACAAGAATCTTGGGACCTCCTTCGCGAGCTCAGAGATCGATCAATTCTGCCATGGGTCACCATAGGAGACTTTAACGATATCACATGCCAGTCAGAGAAACGGGGGCCTCATTCTCAACCCACGAATCTCATTGAGGGTTTTAATGATGCGCTTATGGATTGTCAGTTATTTGATTTGGGCATGGAGGGAAGTCGGTTCACCTGGGAAAAAGGGCGCGGTACAGATGCATGGGTCGAAGAACGCCTCGACAGAGCAGTGGCTACTCACGCATGGATCGACATTTATGATTCGGCTATTGTTCGCAACTTACTCACAATGGAATCTGATCACAACGCCATCCTTCTTGATGTGGAATCGAGAACCTTCCGTCGGGCGAAGAAACGGTTTAGATTTGAATCTGCTTGGTTACAAGATGAGGGTTATCACAAGGCAGTGGATCAAGTATGGCGATCAACTTTGGGAATGAATTTTCAAGAGCGGATCACGGAGTGTGGTCGTTATCTGGGCAAATGGGGGGATGATTATTTTCGGCGCAATGGTAAACAAATCAAATTCCTTGGAGCAGATTGGAAAAATTGAGAGACTCGCGGCAACAACAGGACGTGGCAGATTATATTGAAGCTGAGGGGACACTACAGGGGTTGCTACGACAAGAAGAAGTCTACTGGAAGCAACGGGCGAAACAACTTTGGCTCAAGCACGGAGACCTTAATACGAAATATTTCCACAAGTCGGCCTCAGCCAGACGTCGCAGGAACCATTTACACTGCATTAAGAACCCTGAGGGTCAGTGGCTTGATGGCACGGACTTAAATGGTGAAGTGATGCGTTATTATTCAGACATTTTTCAGTCTACAGGCATCAATGCTGACATTTTTAACCACGTCCCGAGTCGAGTCTCACCTGAGATGAACGCTACACTAGTGCTGCCCTTTACCATCATGGAAATTAAAGAAGCTTTGTTTTCAATGGCACCGGAAAAGGCGCCGGGTCCAGACGGTATGTCACCCGCTTTCTATCAGCATTTCTGGCCTATTTTGGGTCATGATTTGTTTATTTTTATCACTCACTGTTTGTTGGATCGAACACTACCACCGGGTCTGAATGACTCGAACATTGTCCTTATCCCAAAGAAAAAGTGCCCCGAGAAAGTCTCTGATCTTCGTCCAATCGCCCTTTGCACTGTAGTGTACAAGGTTCTTGCCAAAGCTTTAGCAAATCGTATGAAAAGCTTACTTCACAGCGTGGTGTCGGAGTCGCAAAGTGCTTTTGTCCCTGACCGTCTACTGACTGATAATATTATTGTTGCCGGGGAGGTGGGTCACTATCTGAAGAGGAAGACCAGTGGGGCTATGGGTTGGACCGCGTTGAAACTCGATATGGCCAAGGCCTACGATCGAATGGAATGGAGATTCCTGGAAGGTATGCTCACGGCATTGGGTTTTGACAGAAATTGGACTCACCTACTCATGATGGGAGTCAAATCAGTGGTCTATAATATCCAGGTAAATGGCGAGATTGTGAGTACTATTTCCCCAACACGTGGCATTCGGCAGGGAGATCCCATATCTCCATATCTGTTCATCCTTTGTGCTGAGGGACTGTCTGTGTTGTTGCAACAGGCTGAGAGGCAAGGTGACATTCATGGTATTCGTATTGCTCGGGGAGCGCCGGCGGTGACACATTTGTTCTTCGCCGACGATAGTCTTCTATTCTTCAGGGCCACGAGTACGGAAGCTCAGACAATCAGGAACTGCCTCGACACCTACAGTGCTGCATCAGGCCAGGTAATCAATTATGAAAAATCAAGTATTCTTTTCAGCGTCAATACCACTCCGGAAGCCCGTTCTAGTGTGACGGAGTTTGTGGCAGTTCGAGAATGCAATGATTTGGGGCGTTACCTAGGTCTACCTTCGATCTTGGGTCGTAACAAGTCGGCTACTTTCTGCTATATTGAACAGAGAATTCGGGAGCGGATTGGAGGTTGGCAACAAAGGTTGCTGTCACGGGTAGGCAAAGAAGTTCTATTGAAGAGCATTGCCCAAGCCTTACCCATATTCACAATGTCGGTGTTCTACTTACCGCAACGGCTTTGTGATACTTTGGAACGCTTATTCAACCGCTTCTGGTGGGGTGGTGGAGGCGGGTCGACCAGTAGGGGTATCCACTGGCTTAGCTGGCCCCAACTTTGCTTACCGAAGGCCAAGGGAGGCCTTGGATTCAAACGACTACACGAGTTCAATATTGCTCTGCTTGCAAAGCAGGGGTGGCGCCTATTGATCTATCCGAACTCGCTGGTAAGTCTTCTCTTACGTGCAAAATACTATCCCAATGATTCCTTTTTGAACGCTCAAATGGGCCACAACCCGAGTTACCTGTGGAGGAGTATAATGGCGGGCCAAGATTTGCTCAAGCAGGGTGCCGCAAGACGCATTGGCAATGGTGAGGGATCGAAGATTTGGGAATGGCCGTGGCTTGCCAATACGGTACAACCCCGTCTGACTACGCCATGCATCGATTATTTGAGGGATGCGCCAGTCGCAAGTCTGCTTACGCCTCAGGGCACATGGGACGTAGCTGTTCTCCATGATCTCTTTAGTCCGGAAGATATGCCTCGGATTCTAGCCACTCCTCTATCTCCCACGCTACCGGATTCTTGACGGTGGCTTGGTGACACGAGGGGCACGTACACAGCCCGACACGGCTACAAATTGTTGACGGATAGCGATACATTAGATGGCTGGAACGACAGGTTCACGGCATGGGACCGGCTGTGGAAGCTACCCGTTACTCCGAAAGTGAAGAACCTTCTATGGCGTTGCATTAGGGGCATCGTTCCAGTGAAGGAAGTCCTAAAGCAACGACATGTGTGGGTTTGCGGGGGGTGTGCGCACTGCGGGTACCAGGCGGAAACGGCGGAGCATGTGTTTTGCGAATGCATGGTAGCGACGCGTCTCTGGGAGAATGTTAATGTTCTACGGGGCGGCTCTATTTTGGAGTTCTTGGACGCACTCATTAAGAGCGCACCAACACATCAGATCATTCGCGCATCAGCCATTTTCTGGGTTCTGTGGAAGGCTAGGAATGATAAAATCTGGCGAGACACTTCTATTTCATCCGAGTCATTACTAATCCAGGTACACTCTCTACAGGCTCTTTGGTCCTCTATCATGCGAACACCTGGGGAGGCATCATCTTCTACAGCATCTAGCGCTATCTGGACTCCACCGCCAGCTAATTGGCTGAAATGTAATGTGGATGCAGCTCTCTTCGCTACTGGGGCAGGCTTTGGAGCCGTGGTTCGTAATCAGGATGGTAACTTCGTGGCGGCCAAAGGTGGCAGGCTTGGAAGTATTCAAGATCCGTTACTAGCTGAGGCCTTGGCGATTGCACAAGCGCTGGATTGGTTACAAAGTATAGGTCTTAATAATATCAATTTAGAGACCGATTGTTTATTGTTTATTTCAGCTTTTAATTCTGGTCATTCTGATTTTTCGTATGTTGGGTCAATTGTAAAGCAATGTTTTCAAATTGCTAATGACATTGGGACCGTTCAGGTTCGCCATGTCAGGAGGTCATCGAATCATGTAGCTCACGTTCTTGCGCGGGCAACAGATTCTTCGTCTGTCCTAGGGTCGTGGTTGGTTAACCCGCCTTCGTGTATTGCCGCTCTTCTGAGCTATTAATGAATTGTTTTCTTTGGTTTTCAAAAAAAAAAATTAAATAAGAGAAATAATTCCATTAGTTATATTGTCTTTAATTTTCTCCAATATAAAAATTCTTTACATTCAAATTCATCAATTGATTATATTCACTACATTGTCCATACAATGTCATTATTAAAAAAAAATAGTCATTATCAATAAATTAATTAAAAGAAAAATTTTATTAGTTATATTGTCTTTATTTTTCTCCAATGTAAAAATTCTTTACGTTAAAATTCATCAATTGATTATATTCACTACATTGTCTATTATCTTTTTTGTGCACTATTTTTTTTAATTAAATATCAAAGTTATAATACAAAAAAATGCTATATATTTATTTACCAAGTATTTTATTAATACCATGAAAATATTTAAAAATATATAATTAATAAACCCAATCATATTAACTATTTGAGGGATTTGTAGACAAAGAGAGTATTCAAATCACACAACAAATTGAAGTGACAACTATCTCGCAATGTCCTTGTTTGACAATCAGCAGTTAGCAGATCAGATTATATTAGCGGATTTGACCAGCGAATTATATCAATGGTTGGTAAAAAGATATTTGAAAAAATTAGCTGATTAGATTAACATGTAAAATGACCTAAGGGTATAATAATAATAGTAATAATAATAATAATAATAATAATAATAATAATAATAATAATAATAATAATAATAATAATAATAATAATAATAATAATAATAATAATAATAATAATAATAATAATAATTGTTTTTAAAAATAAAAAATAAAAAAAAATATAATTAAGTCAATCATATTAACTACTTGGGGGATTTATTGATAAAAAGATTATTCAAATCACACAATAAATTGAAGTGAGAAACTACCTCGCAATGTCCTTGTTTGGAATCAGCAGTTAGCTCTTCAATATTACCCCCTAATCTTTATTTGCTCTCCCTTATGTCTCGTATTTGGTTTCAATCATACCTATACAATTATTTTATTGACAATTATAATCAATTTTGACTATATTATCTTACATTTGTAAACTTAGAATTACCTATTTAAATACGCAAATTCAACATTCAATTATTTATGCATGAATAATTCCAATATAATCTTGCCTTAATATATACTTTAAAATACTTATTTTAAAAATAAAAAACATTGGGCATTATCTCAATTGCGCAATGCGCGTTAAAACTAGTAATCTTTATAAATGTTTATAAGCATATTTATACACTTGCATATGTTTATGAAATAATTTGATACGTTACTGCTTTGGTGCTGCTATATGTTTTTTCTTTGGTTGTTTTTTTTTTTTTTTTTTTTTTTTTTTTTTTTTTTTTTTTACCTAAATTCATTATTTGTGGTCCGCAGTTTTAAACAGATGAACATAATTGTGTTTAAGATGAAACAGTCAAATGAAACAGGTTAAATCTAAAAATGGGAGTTTGTAATTACGATTGTCATATATGAAGAAATATTAACCTTTTTGTAATTTCTTAATCAACTTTGATATTTATTGATGTAGCTAAATCATCTTAATTATAGATCCTTTCAATCGTATTTCTCTAATACTATATTATTGTAATAGTGCGATATTACAATGCAAATATTTATGATCGTGCATCGTACGGGTACGAATACTAGTACTCTTATATATGCGATGGAGTGCTTAATAGCATTCAATGGTGGCATTCAAACACCTTTGTAACTCCTGAAACAGTAAGCCATTAATTGGGGTTTAAATTCAAAATTAAATTGGAATTAATTAAAAATTGATTCCGAAACTGATCAATTTGATCTAAAAACCGAGAACAAATCTAGTTACTAGACTCGGCCTTAGAAGGCCGAATCCATCATGACCGCATGCCATGATTCGGCCTTGGAAGGCCGAACCCTGCTTGCTCGTTGTGTTGTTCCATGATTCGGCCTGCCAAGCCGAGTGGCTTTGTGTTGAAAAATTGATGCCGAAAGTTGGCATACTTAGCCTGCAAGGCTAATTTCGTGCCCACAGGTGCTGGCGTACACGAGTTCAAGCGTGAATCAAGCATTTTCAGGCTCAGTTTGGGATTTGATTTGCACCGCCCCCCCCCTCTCCTTGTGCGTGAGAGAGAGCCTCTATGCTATACAATTAAATAAGCCTTAGAAAAACTCTTGTATAAATAGTGGTGCAAATCCACTTCCCAAACCAATGTGGGACAAAAGCTCATTCTTTTTCCCTTTATTTTTCAACTCAATGGATCTACTTTGAGAATCAATATATCATTCACCCATTATCCGTTTTGAGTGTACAATATATCAATCTCTTCATCTCACAACGAAGAACCCGAATCCACTTTGACCCGACCCAAATCGAAAGTGGACCCCACTAATAATTGTACCACAAAATAACCACTCAAAATTTCATTTTAATGCTATTTTTCCAACAAAAGGTTCTAGATGGCTATTCATCCAATATATTTCGATGTGTGAATATCACTGAATGTAAGATTTTTGAATTGAAATGTCATGATTTTCATGTGTTTTTACATAGATATCTTCCTTTGGCAATAAGTGGTTTGCTTGGTAAAGAGGTGTGTGAAGCTTTAATTGAGTTGTGCACATATTTTAGAAAATTATGTGCAAAAGTTTTGCATATAGATGATTGGAGAGACTTGAAAAATCAATTTCTTTAATACTTTGTAAGTTAGAAAAGATATTTCCTCCCTCATTTTTTTGACATAATGGTTTAACAATTCATCTTGCAAGTGATGCTAAACTTGGTGGGCCTGTACAATTTCGATGGATGTATCCAATAGAGCAATATTTGCGTACACTGAAATCATATATGAAAAAGAAGGCACGACTAGAAGGATCAATTGCTGAGGCTTATGTTGTGCAAGAATGCATGCATTTTTGTTCCAGATATTTGCATGGATCTAAAACTACATTGAATCGTGTTGGAGAAACTATGAGGGAAGTGTTGTCACATCTCATTCTGGGTTACAAGTTTTTTCACAAGCTAGTAAGCCTTTGCTTGGAAAAAGATATGATGAGTTGACCTTAGCTGAATGGGCCGAAGCAAGAATTTATGTGGTAGAAAATTGTGAAGAAGTTAGAGAGTTTGCCAAGTTTCCTTATATATATATATATATATATATATATATATATATATATATAGGATTATTTTCAAATACAAACCCCCCTTAAAATACAAACCCTCCTTAAAATACAAACTGTGTGCATGTAAGAATATTAATGTGTGCACGAGCTAATCTCAGATATTGTTGGCAGTGTGCCAGTATGCATGTAAGTATGTTAATGTGTGCACGAGCTTTGATGGATGGTTGTGATTTTTTCCTCATACACACTGTGTGCATGTAAGTATGTTAATGTGTGCACGAACTAATCCAAGAAATTGTTGGCAGTGCGCCATGTGTAAATGTAAGTATGTTAATGTGTGCACGAGCTCAAGTTTGTATTTTAAGGGGGGTTTGTATTTGAATGCAACCCTATATATATATATATATATATATATATATATATATATATATATATATATATATATATATATATATATTTAGGTTCTCGTGCGAGTGAGGGATTCAGGTGCGGTTGTGCGGTTTAATCTGAGTCATTCATCTCGCTTTAATCAACGTCCAGGATTATCAAAGTTTAAAAAAAAAACGCGGTGGCAATTTTGTAATTTTTGAATCTAGGTCAGAATTAAGGTGAGCGGATCTGTGATTAATGTGCGTGAGTTTTGTGCTTAATGTGCATGTTTTTTGTGCTTAATGTGCGTGAGGTTTGTGCTTAATGTGCGTGGGGATGTGCTTAACGTGAATAGTTGTTAAAACTTAAAGTCTGTGAGTGAATACTTAAAGTGCGTGAGTTTTGTGCTTAATGTGCGTGATGTTTGTGCTTAATGTGCGTGGGTTTTGTACTTAATGTGCGTGAGTTTTGTACTTAATGTCAGTAGTTGTTGAAACTTAAAGTCTGTGAGTTAATATTTAAAGTGCGTGGGTTTTGTACTTAATGTGCGTGAGGTTGTGCTTAATGTGTGTGGGTTTTGTACTTAAAGTGCGTGAGTTTGTGATTCAGATCTAACACTTAAGGTGCACCTTAGCTTATACTTCTTTGTTCTAGGCACGCGTTTTTTTTTTTTTAAATTTTCATTGTTTTTTTTTTTTAATTTTCATTGATTTGAGCCGTTGATCTAAATTTGATCAACTGCTCAGATTTAACCGCACAACCGCACGGGAAGCTATACCCGCACCTGAACCCTTCCCTACATATATATATATATATATATATATATATATATATATATATATATATATATATATATATGGTTACATTCACATGAGGATAGTAATATATAGAGGACTGTGCGGACCGATTTTGGGCACACGACAAATTACTATCATGCACACAATTTAATGCACAATGACACAGAAGCATACATGTAAACATCAGGTTTCGAATCCAGGCTCTATTAATTAACAAACCAATGCACACAACATACAATTGGTTTGCAATTCTGACAAGTGTAGACTTGCAAATTATGCAATTGACTGTCAGAATTACATCGTATTATCATAAACAGACACAATTCAAATTGTACGTTAATTGATTATTTAAAAACCAAGTATAACTTTAATTCTAAACTTGCATTCAAGACTAACATCACTTTTTTAATTGGTATCAGAGTCCGAAGACTTAAATTATTAGTCTATCGATTTTACTATCCCGTGCTTCTTGAACTCAAGTTTTCAATGATTTGTATTGCTTTTATTTATTCTATTACTTTGTTCAATCTCACGATTTGTTGAGTGTTTCAGAATGGATCGTGTTAAGGTTCTTCCCCAGTTAACGGGCGACAACTATGCTTATTGGAAAGCACGCACACGAACGCACCTAAAAGCTCAAGGAGAAGCTGTTTGGCGTTCTGTTGTGACGGGTTGGACTTATCCGACTAAAGCTAGTACTAGTGCTGACGGTTCACAAGTGACAAAACCTGAAACTG